TCTGAATAAAAATAAAACACTAAGAATAGACAGTGTTCTCGATTACAACCTCAAGGGCGGGAAAAACTAATTAAAAGCTGTTATTACAACACACCTTATGTGTTATTACATAGACGGTAATTAGTCATTAGTATAGTGTGCATAAAACCTATTCAAACTAAACACACAAACTTTTCAGAAAGACCACAAACCATTAGTAATCTGAAGATATTTAGGTCAATTTCCAAAAACCTGATTCTTCCAAAACTTTTGATAACTACATCTCTTACGACGGAGAAAGAATTCCCACAACACTGTCCATTCTATCTTGATTTTAAACGCAATCTCTTCAGATGCAGTCGTTTCAAAACACTCAGATTTTTGTACATCTAACTGTACACGCATTCGCGCGATTTTATTAAAAATACCGGCTTTTTATGATCGGCTCTGCGGCGGCTGCTTTTGTGCCCAACACTTCCGCACAAATGAAAAATGTTAGACGCTTTGCGATCGCCAGCAATTTTTTTATTCATTTAAAACCTGTACTTTACAAAACAAATGACACAAACAACCGCCGCAAAAAATAAAGTAGAAAGAAGATTACTTTTCCCATTAACGTGACATTAGTGGACGTACATTTTCTTTTTGAATAAAATGTTGGTTACCACGCTGTTATTAAAATTAGTCCGTTATTGGCATCAAATAACATACTTTTATGATTAGTAAGTTTATTGTAAATGGGTGAATATCAACAAACTCGTTTTTTGCCTAATTCCGGTGGCGAATTTTAATTTCCACTTTCCAAAACTTTTTTGTGGCAGAAATAATAGTAAATAACTTGTATTATTCAATGATATGGTAGAGATCAAAATATTATTAATACTTCTCGAGATATGTCAATTTGAAATTATCGAGAGCCACCGAAATTGTATTTGAGCCACCGGAATTAAGAACCAATCCACCGAAATTTATTTATACAGCGGACTTTGAAATGTTACGTCTATTCTATTCTATTCTAATATTGCGTGTGGAGGATCGGCTCACTTTAAACGTAATCAGACGATGGTCACTAGTGCTGGCCCCCACATGGACTTTCCATTCTGTGACTGTGACGTTTCTGGTGGAGAGTGTCACGTCCACGCTTGATTCCCCGTTCGCTGTACTAAAGGTCGCCGGTTGGTCAGGGGTGTTGACTACGACCAGGTCGTGTCCCAAGATGAAGTCCTCAACCGACGACCTACGATGGTCAGCCACTCTGCCTCGTCCAGTGGTTTGGTCCGGCCTGCTGTGCCACAACGGTGAGTGGGCATCGGCGTCGACTCCCACTATGATGCGCTTACCCGCTAACGCGTCGAAGACCCGCTCAAGGTGGTGAATGTGCGGGTCGATCTCCTCGCCGTACTTGAAGTAAGCTGAGACGACGTACAAATCAGCCTCATGGATGTACGCCACCGTGCAACGGTCGTTCGTCAGGTGCTGGAGCACTGCGATGGAGAGATGGAACCCGGCCACGAAGACGCCTGCCTGGGACGAGAGGCCGCGCTGGAGGACAAGCTCGGACTGCGAGTACTGTTCTTGGACTAGAACAGCGTCCAATCCGAGCTCCTGNGGAGGATCGGCCAACTCTGAACGTGATAAGGCGATGGTCACTAGTGCTGGCCCCCACATGGACTTTCCAATCCGTGACTGTGACGTTTCTGGTGGAGAGTGTCACGTCCACGCTTGATTCCCCGTTCGCAGTACTAAAGGTCGCCGGTTGGTCAGGGGTGTTGACTACGACGAGGTCGTGTCCCAAGATGAAGTCCTCAACCGACGACCTACGATGGTCAGCCACTCTGCCTCGCCCAGTGGTTTGGTCCGGCCTGCTGTGCCACAACGGTGAGTGGGCATTGGCGTCGACTCCCACTATGATGCGCTTACCCGCCAACGCGTCGAAGACCCGCTCAAGGTGGTGGATGTGCGGGTCGATCTCCTCGCCATACTTAAAATACGCTGAGACGACGTACAAATTGGCCTCGTGGATGTACNATTGGCGTCAGCTCCCACGATGATGCGCTTTCCCGCTAACGCGTCGAAGACCCGCTCAAGATGGTGAATGTGCGGGTCGATCTCCTCGCCGTATTTAAAGTACGATGAGACGACGTACAGATCGGCCTCGTGGATGTACGCCACCGTGCAGCGGTCGTTCGTCAGGTGCTGGGCAGTACCGCGATGGACAGATGGGACCCGGCCACGAAGACGCCCGCCTGGGACGAGAGGCCGCGCTGGAGGACAAGCTCGGACTGCGAGTACTGTTCTTGGACTAGAACAGCGTCCAATCCGAGCTCCTGCGACAGCGCGGGGAGTTCGTCAGTGGCGAGCGCCGCGCCGGCCAGGTTCAGCTGGCCCAAGGTCCACGCATCAAAGAGCGTAACGGGTGGCCGCTACGCTACGCTGCTCCGCGAAGACCCTGGCAGGGCACTCCCGCGCACCGGTTGCGTGTGTCGCTGCGTCCTTCTTGCCGAATTTGTGGCAGGTGGCGCACCGCTGCACCGTCTCCTTGCACGCTGCTGAAGCGTGCCCGCTGCCTCCGCACGACGCGCATACCACGTCCGTCGCCCTACAGTACTTCTCAGGGTGGCCGTACTGGTGGCACTTGTGGCAGCACGTCACCGTCAGGAAGTCATTGACGTAGGCCACGTCCCAGCCTACGTACACCCGATCCAACTCGCAAAGGAGTAACCTGCAGGCCGGGGAGCACTCAAGGACCACTGCTGTGGTCCCACTTCCCCGGCGGCTCTTTTTAAAGACTCCTTTGCACTCCTTGGTGAAACGCTCGAGGGGCCAGCCGTCCTTGCTCGCGACATTCTGCTCGTGAAGAGCCTCCACGAACTCCTTGAGGTCCGGGTCACCGGTGATGGAGGACACCACCACGAGGGGCAGCCGCTGCTTAGGCTCCGTCACCCGCAGAGAAGCTGGGATTGCTTCTTTGAAGCGCCTGGCCGACTCGGGGGATGTGGTCTGGATGACCACACCCGCGTTGCCTACCTTCCGCAAGCGATCGATCTGTACATTGATTCTGCGCGGGTCGACGGCCCTCTTCAGCTCCGCCTTGGTGTCTTCAGCAGTCTTTAGGGTCTCGGAAGCTGAATCTGCCGGGTCATCAAATCATCAGCGAACAGATAACAATGATGATCAGTTACTGTAGGTAAGTCATTTATATAGATTATAAACAACAGTGGCCCCAAGATAGTTCCCTGTGGAACGCCAACATTGTTCACAGAAACTATGGATTTTGAATTTGTTTCTTCTTTGCTAGTGTTTAAAGATTTGACTTGTACGTATTGGCGGCGATTATGAAGATAAGATTTAAGCCAATCAAGTGCCGTGCCTCTTAAACCATATTTGTCGCATTTTTGCAGGAGAATTTCATGAGAAACAAAGTCAAATGCCTTGCTCATGTCAAAAAATATAGCTGTAGCATCTATACCTTTATCAATACACTCTGTTACGTTTTTTATTAAGTTAAAAGTTGCAAGCGTAGTGGATTTACCCTTACGAAATCCATTTTGTCTATTAGCTAAAATGTTGTGTTTTTCGAGAAATTTATAGATCCTTGTATGCAATGCTTTTTCAAAAACTTTAGCCAACACGGGTATTAAAGCAATTGGTCTATAGTTATCCATTTTATCTCTTTCATCTTTTTTATGTATGGGATATATGACCGACAATTTCAGTTTTTCAGGAAAACTGCCCTCTGTAATTGATTGATTTACTAGGTGACTCAGGACATCACATAAAATTCTAGCACAATATTTCAAGATTTTTGTAGGAAATTCATCGTATCCCACTGAAGCTGTATTTTTGAGAGAATTAATTATTTTAAATATTTCATCACTTGTAGACGGGTAGAGAAAAATACTTGCAGCTATAGGTTGGATATTGGTATGAGCAGATGGTAATTTAGATTTTGTCGATTTGTTGGTCATGTCAATATAGAATTTATTAAAATGATTACAGATGTCAATAGGATTCAATGTCAGAGTGTTATTATGTTTTATTTTATTTATATACTTATTATTGTTATCAGTGTCTGTCTGCTCGAATGATTTAACTATATTCCATGTCGATTTACATATGTTTTTACTTTTTTTAAGGTATAATTCATTTGTCAGCTTTTGTGATTTGCTTATACATTTTTTTAGAATACGCGAGTAATTTTGATATTTTCTTTTGTTAAGAGTATTAGAGTTTGCATAGTATTTAAAGCGCAGTTTACGTTTTGAGACACATGACTTTTTTATACCTACGGTTATCCACTTATTACCTTTTTTTTATGGTCCATCTTAATTTTTAGTTTAGGAAAGCATAATTCAAAAAATAGAATCAAAGTTTCATGAAATATATTAAAAGACTTATTTACATCAGTGGCATCATAAACGTCAATCCATGAGAGAGATGAGATCGCTTCAGCGAATTTTCTCATATTGTCTTGACTAAAATCTCTCCTAAATACGAACCATGTTTTTAATTTCCTTTGTATATTTTGTTTTGGTAAGTTTAGGGTTTGACAAGTGTCATGATCAGATAGTCCCAAACTATGTGTTTTTCCAACAGCTGTGGGAATATTGCTGATTATTTGGTCTAAACAGGCGTTTTTTCGCGTTGGCTCTTTAATATGTATTGTCATTCCGTAATTTTGGCATATTTTTATATATTCATCCTTTATGCTACTTTCCTTTAAAATATTTATATTAAAATCTCCAGTTATAACAATTTTTTTATTATTTTTATATCTCAGTTTCGATAACATAGTTTCAAGACGATTTAGAAATATATATGGGTCTGATTTTGGAGTTCGGTAAATACAAACGATTATACATTTCAATTGGGGAATCTCAATACCACAACACTCAAAGGCATAATCAGTAGCAAGATCCCTCGGTATTGATATATTCCTATAGCTAAGATCCGACCTGCATAGTATACAAACACCTCCACGTCTTTGCGTGCGTCTGGAGTAGAAATCGGCCAAACAGAAGTCATTTNCTGGGCGGGCGGCGCAGCTGGCGCGGGTTGGGCCGGTGGTCGGTGCCGGCGATGACGAGCACGGCGGCCGCGGCCTCGGGCACGGCGCCGGCCGCCGGCCACTCGTCCGCGCCGAAGAAGCGCAGACGCGAGTCGCGCACGTATAACGCGCGTAGGAGGTGCGTGCACACCTAGAATAATACAACTTTCACTGAAAACAAGTTTGAATCTGGGCGGTTTAGTTGAGTTCATATAATTACTGATAAACTGTACTCGACCAAAGTGCGAAGTGTTTTTTAGTCAGTAACGAGTACTTTAGTTACTATAGTCTTTTTCACCTAAGATGATCCGTATGACACTTTAAGGTTATCCATATTACGCATACTACATACGCAGAATATTCTTGAAAAAATATTTGTATTTAATCAGCAATATAATAAAAAAATAATTAACTACTTGTCTTGAAATATATAGTAAAATCTGAGTCTATTGATTATATTTTAATTAAATACGATGTAAAAATATTTTTTATTTAATGTACGCAATGTGTGAAACGGAATAGATTTAGTGCTGGGGTATTTGTTGAATAACAAAATCGATGATTTCCGCGGTTCATTAATCGATTGCAGTGAATACTTAGTTATTAAAAACATCACAAAAATCAACTATATTTTTCGATTGTTGACTTTAATAAACGCATTGAAAATAAATTAAAGTTTTTAATTTAAAAAGAAATAGAACCAGTACTTTTTAGGAATCGTTTTTTTGAACATGAAGTCTATGGAATTTGAATATTATCAATAAAAAAATGTTACAATAATATTTGTAATTAAAAAAAAACATGTTTTTAGGGTTCCGTACCTCAAAAGGAAAAAACGGAACCCTTATAGGATCACTTTGTTGTCCGTCTGTCTGTCTGTCAAGACCCTTTATCTCAAGAACGCGTGAACGTATCAAGCTGAAATTCACATGAAATACTCAGGTCTATTGTCCCTTTAAGCTGTGAAAATATCAAACTTCTAAGCCAAGCCAATCAAAAGATACAGCCGATTATGTCGATATTTTCAACAAATTTTCGACACTCGCAAAGGAATCAAAACCTACAGGATACTTCCCGTAAACTCAGAATCTTGAAATTTGGCATGAAGCATTGTCATATAATGCAAATATAGGAAAAATTGCGAAAATCTCATTTTTAGGGTTACGTACCTCAAAAGGAAAAAAACGGAACCCTTATAGGATCACTTTGTTGTCCGTCTGTCTGTCTGTCAAGACCCTTTATCTCAAGAACGCGTGGACGTATCAAGCTGAAATTCACATGAAATACTCAGGTCTATTGTCCCTTTAAGTTGTGAAAATATCAAACTTCTAAGCCAAGCCAATCAAAAGATACAGCCGATTATGTCGATATTTTCAAAAAAATTTCGACACTCCCAAAGGAATCAAAACCTACAGGATACTTCCCGTAAACTCAGAATCTTGAAATTTGGCATGAAGCATTGTCATATAATGCAAATATAGGAAAAATTGCGATTATCACATTTTTTTAGTTATATAATATAATAAAAATATTTTAATAAAATGAAACTTACTACCTTATTTCTCACGAACGAATAAAGGTATCAAATTGAAATTTATACCAAATACCTAGGTCTATTGTCCCTTTAAGCAGTGAAAAAATCAAACTTCTAAAGTCGGATTCTTTAGAAATTTCCCTATATGTAAACAAATATGGCCAACTGACACTAAAACATTTTTAATCTGTGCCCTAGTGAGGCGACAAAACCTCTCGTTAATCGCGGATTGAAATTATTGTAGTACTTACGTACCTATAGAAAGAATTTTAATGCTTTATAAAGCAATGCATTAAACAATTAGTAGTACATTCAATGAAGAAAAAATACATTGTTGATTAAGACCCTATTTAAATCTATTTAAATGCAATCAGTAATAAAAATGATTGAATAATTGAAATAAAATCGATTAAATTTACCGACTATTGTCTATGACTTACAGGTTACAACACTGATGTGTCAGAGACAACATGGAGATATAGTTCCAAAATACTGAACTGTCCTATGCATGACATTGACAGTGGGGCGCCACCGTCTATACCGGATCGCTGGTTCTGATTTTTGCCATATTGAAAACCATATAGTTGAACGATGGTAGCGCCCCCCTGTCATTGAGTTTGGTGGGACAGTTCAGCGTGGGTCATCTATAACAAATAATTTTAAACTTCAAGTCAATTTGACAAGTCTCACAAATTTTCATCGTCCACATATTTTGCTAAAATAATTTGTTTAAAGATTGATTCCAAACTTGTATAATCGTGAGAATAAAGTTGGTTTCATGGGCTTGTGAAATAATGTGTATGATATTATGAACACGTAAGTGATTATGGTGTAATTGTGTGCAGAAGTGTTTGTTTACATTTAAGGAAATTTCTAAAGAATTTAGGTATAAGTTAACGCGATCAAAAGATACAGCAGTTTATACCGACACCTTAGACGAATTTCCGTCACACGCTAGGGAATCAAAACCTACAAGGTACTTCCCGTGAACTCAGAATCTTGAAATTCGGCACGAAGCAACGTTATATAGTACAGATAAAGGAAAAATTGCGAAAATGATAAATTTGAAGTTACATAAAATATTAAAATATTATTTTTGCTTACATGACATAAAATATATTTTTTAATAATTATAAACTTACTACCTACCCTTTTTCACATGAACGCGTAGAGATATTAAAGTTGAAATTCATATCAAACACTTCTTAAATCTAATTGCCTCTAAACTGTGAAAAACTCTAATGCCTGCTGCTGTCTTTCCCGAAAACTATAATCCGGGCCTCTTCAAGGCGAGAGTGAATAAGCACTTACAGGGCAGATATGTACCATCCTAGACCCACTCAACATCAGGTGCGATTGTGGTCAAATACCTGCCTTGTTATGCATAAAAAAAAATCAACGCGAAAATTCAAAACGCTGAGGTAGGTACCTACCTATAATCATACCGCATATTTTGAAATTCGCCACTACTCGCAACAGAATCAAAACTTAAAGACTACTACGATATCTAGTAAGTAATTTGATTTAATACGTCATAAATTGTAAACCGCTACGTTTGTACGGCAGAACCCTCGGTGTGCGAGTCCGACTCGCACTTGGCCGGTTTTTTTGTTAAATAACACCTATACAAAATATTTATCTAAAAGTAGGTTTTACTAACTCTTAGAAAAAAATCGATAGATAAATCGCTATGGTTTAGTTATGTGACATCTCTATAACTTTCAAACTCGAAACGTCATACGAATCATCTTACGTGAAAAAGACTATAATCGAGTAATTTAGAAGAGCAACTCGCTGCTCTTCTAAATTACTCGACTAGTGCGAACAAGGCTTTAGAACTGTTTCATGCATAGATTGATGGAATAGCGCAATATTATAAGGACGATTACTGACAAGATGCAAGATAGATCGGTACATAGAGCGGAATAGGGCGCTTACCTTAAACAAATGTGACCAAGCCGGCGTTTGTTTCTTCCCGGACAGCTCAATCTGATTATTTCCCACCGCGTCTTTGTAAAGTCCTCCGATAACGGGTCTCGTTTCTGGGTACGCCAGCTCCACGAGACCAAGGCACACTTGTCGCAGCGTCCGACACAGCCCACCGAGTTCAGAAAACTCGAACGCGTGGATCCGACCGCCGGTATTGTTTGAGATTACTGAAGGACTTGATGAGACTGGAAATGATAAAATACAATCAATGTACCTACTATATTCAACAATGGATAGCACAAAAAGGATTTGAATTGCTTTACATTTTGACACTTTTTCGTTAAAATTATGACTCCTTTTAGAAGCAATTAATTTATTTTTCATAACTTACTATACGTCATTTTGATGTCTTCATCTTCGATGTCGCGGCAGAATTCCGTGTCATGCAGCGTTCCGATCAGCAACGAGAATAGCGCACAGAAAACTGCCAATGGCGCCAATAGTCTGTGGACCCCTATTTCCGCGTAATCCACGCCCATGCCTCTAGAAAGAGCGGAGAGGAGCGGAGTGGCGGAGCCCCCGAACGACGACTCATGGCTCATGTTGCTGAGCCAACGCCACAGCCCTCGGATAAATATTGGCTTAAACGCCAATGTGTAGAGTAACCTGCGAAGTAACAGTCATCCGCGTAATATTCCTAGGTTCAAAGTAAAATATACTGCACTACCTAATGGATGTAGGACTCGGAGGCGAACTGTAAGGAAAATAGCGGTGATCACAATAGATCGGTACCGGTCGCAGTGATACTAGCGACTTTATTTAACTAGAATAGCCGCTCAACACAAATAAAAAAAAAGTACATATTTGCAGGTAATTTTGCATTTAAGAGGCAAATCATTTTTGAACATGATTTTGACATGTAAAAATCTACAGTCTCATGTGAGTTTTAAAACCACAATCATGCTCAAAACATAAAAACTCACCTATATTTATGTAACGCCATTCTATGACTTAAAAGCAGGTTATGGCATATTTCTGACATGTCATCCAAAAACTCGTCACTGAGGTCATTCTCTACGATCATACAGCACGTCATCATGACGCAGCGGTCAGGCTCGTTCAACATTTCTATGCACTTGGTCAGCAAAAGTTTCTCTCTTACCGAAGTGGGGTTCGGTTCAATCTCACTGTCGCTGTCGTTGTCTTTATCCGCTGCGGTCTCTTGACTGTACAAAGAGTCTTCATATTCGTACGTTATTTGCTTATTACAAACGTTAACAGTTAACTTAGCTATTATTTTAAGGTAATTCAGTATGATCGGGTTGTTCGGTAGCTTTGTATTGTTCAATTGGCGTATATCGTCAACTGAAACAAAATATCAGATAATTTAGACTCAATAGTTTAAAAAATTAAATTAAATCTTCTTAGTAGCCAGTGGTTTGATACATACCAAATCCTGGAGGTTCTAGTGACAGTACAGAATGCAATAACCATGAGTCATTTATAAGTAATTTGCTATGAAACTTGCTCTCCTGTAAGCATTGTATAAGCGACAGGAATGGGAATTTCTTTCCTGGGTCGTCATGAAGGGCTGGTATTATGAACATCTCCACTGGCTCAGGGTAGGGGTTACAAAGGAAGGCTGCAGCAAACTCCGACATCACTGTGTCCCTGGAATAAATATATAGACATAAAGTTGGGAAATAGTCACTTATGTCAAGTAACTAACTATGCTATGCTATTTTGACAAACAGAACAAGAATATTATGCATATTTTACTAATTTTTAAAACTAAAAAAAAAACTCATTTATTTTTGCAAATAGGCTTTTACAAAGCAATTTCATACGTCCCAGTATTAACCCTACCACTTCTTCGGGACAATAAATGGGCCAGTGCTGAGAAGAAGCAGANTTCGTCCGCCATCACATCTCTTGTCCTTTTCTAACACGCACATGATCAAATCATTCCTTCTTACTCGCTCGGTCGCTTCGCAGAGCTGCGCTCACGAACTTCGCTCGAATGAATGAATGAAATTCATGTGATTCGTGATTTCGTTGACTGTGAAATTATAGCAGTCTATGTGAAGTAAAATAGCAGGTGTGATTAATGAAATTCATTTCATATGATTTTTCACCTGCTATTCATGAAATGTTCCATGCCTAGTGGGAATCAACATAAGCGTGCGTCCACACAACAAACTTGCAGGGACTTTCCAGCTAGTGTTAAGTAGAGTTTTCTTTATGCTCTTTCTTGTTGGCTTTAAAGCGTAGGTAGAGCAATATTTTTTTAAAACGTTTGTATGCTCCTTAAGTTTATTATCAGCCATTTATCGATTGGTAAATGTTACCAACATCACTGTCCAAAATTACTGATTTCTGAGACAGTTTCAGACATATTTCAGCTCTTTAATTTTAGAGTAAAAGTTAGTCAGGTCCAAATTTACCGGAAGTACAGACGACGGCACATCAAGCTAAATACTGGGGCGCTTTCAGTTTCTAATAAGAACTATTTTGACACAAAATATAAACCCTTATGTGCTGTCGTAAGTAACGTGACAGACCTTTTGATTTGCATTTGTCGTGATGTATTAATAATACATCTAAGCAATTTGGGAACGGGCTCGCGGACTAAAAAAGCAATGTAATATAAAAGATAGAGAGTCACTGAACAAAATACGTCACCGACACTATGAGAGATATAATTTATTTATTTATTTAAAACTTACATGCACATAGAACGGTTAAAAGACATTGCCGGAAATTGGCGTCTTTTTTTTTTTCGCGCGGCCATCGACCAAACCTTGTTTTTTGATTACAAAATAGTTTAATAAACCAAACTTACTATGACATGTATACCTCTAAACTCAGTCTGAACTGAGTTACGAGCATTAGAAGTTTGATGATTTTCATACTAGATTTGCTTTTTGCGCGCAAGTTTTGTAAGAAATTGCAACAAAATAGTGACATTGTATGTGTAAACAAACAATACCATCCATTAAAGGCTCCAGACATCAGTATGCAGCAGAATCAGCGCAATAAAAAAANCTGTGCTACAGTCTCTTTAATGGCGTCAAATTGACTGTCGATACATGCAACTTCTGAAGTATTTGTATGAAAACTTCATCATATCAGCCCTCCCCCAAGATCAGAACTCGAAACTTATCTGATTGCTGCGAGGGTTCAGAGTTGGAGACACCATAATCTCTTAAAGTCTTCACTACCTCCCACTTAGAGGTTTTCAAGCTTCTGAGCTAGACCGAGCTCAGTATCAAGATACGGCGAGTACATCACACAACTTCGATTCACTGACGATATTGTAGTTATGACTGAGACCTTAGTAGACCTAGGTACAATGCTCCAGAGCCAATAAGACCAATTCCGGCAATAGATTCGCCACCGGAGCCACCGAAATTGCGCCACCGGAATTGAAAAACTGTTACAAAATTCAAATTATAAAGAAAACTATAATTCTGATCAATAATTTCTGTATGCAGATACAACAAAACACCAAACTTTAATCATGTTAAAGAATCGTTTAGCATCTAAGTAAGTAGCTTTCACTCATACACTTGCCAGCGAAATTGAAAAATTTTGTATTCCTGTGCCGCTGATACAAATATTTACGGGTCTGCTGGAAAAACAATACCACAAGTCGCAAGTCTTTATAGCCCGATCAGGAGGACACAGTTGAGTGATGCAGGGAAGAAGAACTCTACGTCTCTCAAAGCTTCTTTGGAGAAGTAAGAGAGTGTCGAAATTGAGCCACTGTAATTGCTTTTTTTCGTGGGACAGTTTTGAAAGGCTATTTAAAACACTTAAAATATGAAATATCTCATTTCTTTCATATCATTTGGAAGTCTTATTTAATGTATTTTATGGCTATACTATTTTTAAATTACTAGAATCCCCGAGAAAGAAGGAATAACACAATTTATGAGTAGAAATAGAGTTAGGACGCGCCACCGCTATTAGATTTTGGGTCTTTGAAAATTTTTTTAGTACATAAAATAACAACCTACTGTCCTGAAGACTTTGCTATCGTGTAAAACGCTGTATAAACTATATACAGAAAAAAAATCATCGCTCTAGTTAACTACATTTCTCCCATCGATTCTCAGCTCCGCCGCGTAAAAAACGTGTTTGGGATATTCACCCAAATATAGTTGTAGGTACACTTTTAGTTCCTTTTCGTCCGCAACACACCCACTTCTGGGGAAAACGCCCAAAGATTACCACAATGATCGGTCCAGTCCAGCCTACATCCAGTAGCTTTCCGCAACCTTCACTATCGTCAGTCGCCGTCGGTCCAATCATACCTTGACGATCTAGAGTGGACTTCATTTTAGTATTCTACAAATTATGTAGTTTTAATTTCAAATAATAAAAATAGTTTAATGGAAAAATATGCAGTTAACAAAAAATAAAACGAAATTCCATAATTTTTGAATTAGAATAATTATAAACAATTTCGAAATTATTTTACTGAAATAATGCGATATGTAAATAAATTCTCAAAATAAATTCATATTGCCGCTACGAGACTCAAATATTGAAATGAAAAATGTAGATATTTTTGAACAGCTATTCAAAATGGTAGCAATATTTTTTATATAATATTTTTTACTTTATTTACTTTCTACATTTTGTATTCTAGGTATTTTGCAAATCAAAGCACAACAAGATTTCAGCTTGATCAGTGGCGCCGCCCTGGTGGCTAAAAATCGCGAATCAACCCAGTGAAGAATAGTCTGGCAAAAGGCTATTGTCTATTAGGGGCGTGAATAGGCGCGATAGTGCTGAGTTATTAGCTGGCGAGCGAGTGAGTGAGTGAGGCGAGCTGATGCCGCGAGTGATAGGAACAACCACACGCGAGCGAGGAGTCGCGTGATTAGTAAATCAAGTGATCATGGCTCAAACTTCGTGTTACGGCTGGCTTACACTCTGTAGCTTCATTTAACTACCAATAAAAATTAGGCTACCAGTAATAACATTCTGTAATTCAGTTTATTACTCCAGTCAATAAAGTATTACAGAGGGAAACGCGTGGAACACAATTTGAACATACCAAAAGTCCCCGCCCTTAGCACTTGAGCCGGAATATCTGAAAGCTCCAATAAACAACGTTCAGTTTCATAGAAAAGCGCCCGGTGAAAATCCAATTAAAGCCAGGCTTTAAAATAGCCCAACAGCCTTCGAGCAGGGGAAGATGAGGGTAAAATTCGCGCAGGTATTACATAGCAGTCGTGGCCGAGTGGTTAAGGCGTCTGACTCGAAATCAGATTCCCATTGGGAGCGCAGGTTCGAATCCTGCCGGCTGCGTTTGTTTTTGTTTTGGACACTTTAAATACCTCGGTTTTTTTATTTTTTTTTTTTATTTATTTGGACCTCGCTTCAATGTATCTTAATTGTTTATTGAACTAGATTGGATTTATCTCTATTGTTAAATGGTATGAATTATAGCAAAAATGTACTGCAAAAATATATTTTATTTTTTAGTTACGTAGGTTTCAAAAAAGTTTAACAACATTTTGTAATTTAAAAGCGACCATAAGCAGGCACCCATATTTTTCAAGTAATTAACTAACAAATAAACGTGTAGACAAAAATATAATAGGTAAAAAATTAGGCAGGTAATATGACGACTGTCTGGCCTAATGGTTCAAACACCGCTCTAATACCTAAAATTGCGGGTTCGATTCCCGCATAATACAAGGATTTGAGTCCATCATCATATTTGTTTATTTGTACACCAAGAAACATATATGTATAATGTATATTCTTCATACATCATAATTAAGGACAAATAATAAAATCAGCTTTTTAATCCAGTTCAAAATCCAGTTATGATTCGAAAAATTATTAAAATTTGGAGGTGTGGAATGCTGCAGGCACATAGGATTATGAAGGTAGTTCGATCAAAAATCAGGCGGTGGGAATCAACATAAGCGTGCGTCCACACAACAAACTTGCAGGGACTTTCCACCTAGTGTTAAGAATTTTTTCTTTTAGAAGCTCTTTCTTGTTGGTCCTAAAGCACAGGTAGAACAAATTAAAACGTATAAATGCACCTTAAGCTTTTTATGGATTTGTAAATGTTACCAATCCCCTGTCCAAAATTACTGATTTCTGAGACAGTTTTAGACATATTTCAGCCCTTTAATTGTAGAGTGAAAGTTAGTCAGGCCCAAATTTACCGGAAGTACAGACGACGGCTCATCAAGCTAATTACTTGAGGGCTTTCAGTTTCTGTAATAAGAACTATTTTGACACAAAAATAAACAGCCTGAAAAGCGCTGTTGAAAGTACATGACAGACCTTTTGATTTTCATTTTATCGTGATGCATTTAAGCAATTTTGGAATGGGCTCGCAGACTAGAAAAACAATGCGATATAAAAGGAAGAGTCACTTGATCTCATGCCATAACTCCTTGATTTCATGGAATCATGACTTTAGTTGGACATTACAACCAAAGTTTATGTATTGCCTGATGCCTGGTGTGAGGTCGACTCTACATGGCAGACCTTTTGATTTTCAACACTGTCCTGGTGGATTGCTCTGGTTTCGCCTGCAGCTCGTATCCGTAATTTGCCCACGAGCTGGTAACCCCGGCCTCTGGAGACGGCGCCGCCGGTTAGCATTTGTATGGACGCTCGCCGCCGAATCCCGCCGCTAACAAACGATTCCATGAAACGCGCGCTAAACTCAAGTGCGACGTTTTTTGCCCTGAATTTCCAAGTTCATAAGCACTATAATCTCTCTGTTGTTAATTGGACAGAGGACCATTGTGGTCTTGTACCATTAGTTAAATTTTAAATAGAATGATGTGATAAGCGTAAACCTTAATTCAAATAGAATGATTTTTCAAATCTTTTGACCACTTCTTCATTCCACCATCACCTCTTCTATCTTTCTATAATACGTACTGTAGGATAATACCCTTTTAAGGTCGGCATTGTACCCGCTATTGTTATATGAGAGAAACAATGAATACGTCTGATAAGCTAGGAGGATTCGTTTTTGTAGCAGTTTTAGAGAAAGTTGTACCACGAGAATTGTGTAAGTGGTATCAGACAATCATAAATGTCAAATGTCAAATGGTACATCCTTCAGTCTGTTTATTTTTATACACAAGTCCTGGCACTGTACTCCTTTCCACCGATAAACGGACATTAAACAAGAAATTGCTTCCAAAAAGGCTTATTCGATACCTTGATGCGTTTTTAACCTCCATTATGTACCCGTAGGTCGCCGGATAAGGCGCGCTAAACGGGATCCGAACACTTCCCCGGGATAACCAATTGTGATCCCAATATTTGTAAATACATCGGATGTTTTATTCAGCCGACTGGTTAGGGTGATTTGATAGACCGGTAACTTTTTACGACTTAAAAATACTGTATGTATTTTAAAGAAACGTTTAAAAATGATATGGCCGAATAAAATTGATCTAGTGTGCTGACTAATGAGCAATTGAGCATATTATATAGATTTAACTTCTGTTGCAGAACATTTCGTATGCATTAATTATTCTTTCCTTCTGATCCTACTAATACTAGTAGGATCTAGTTCAGTTCTAGAAGTTTAGTTCTAGTGAAATATTTTAGATAATACTATCTAAAATATTTCAACATAATTAACTTTTTTTAAAAATAAAACCGACTTCAAATGCGTGAACACAAAAAAAAACTAAAAATTAAAAATATTGCGTATAAAAAAGTTCACCCTTGGGGGTNTATTTTGTAATCAAAAAACAAAGTTTGGTCGATGGCCGCGCAAAAAAAAAAAGACGCCACCTTCCATACAAAATCTGGCATTGCCATTTATGAAGATTGAAAGGCTTCATAAAGCCTTTCAATCTTCATAAATTAAATTATATCTATAAAGAAAGTCGTGTTAGTTACTCCACTTATAACTCAAGAACGGCTGAACCGATTTAGCTGAAAATTGTCAGGGAGGTAGTTTAGAGCCAGGAGAAGGACATAGGATACTTTTTATCCCGTTCGAAATAAAAAAAAGTCTGCTTATTTATTGCCATTAAGGCGGAACAAAGTTCGCCGGGTCAGCTAGTTGTAAATAAAAATTACTTCAATTTGGTTCAGTCAAGAGGAAGAGAAAAAAGTGACAGTCGTAAAAACCAAAAAACGAAAAAGAAGTTTCTCGCAGGCCAGGCGAGCGGCCAAGGAGTTTGGTCGTACCTTTGCGACTTGCGACCCTTTACAATTTTTCCTAGGCCGTCAATAGACACACCTGTACAGTCACTCGATCTCATACCCTAACTCTTTGATTCCATGAAGTCACAAATCTATTAGCACATTATACCAAGGTATCGCCTGATGCCTAGTGTGCTGTCGACTCTACATGGCAGACCTTTTGATTTTCAACACTGTCCTGGTGGATTGCTCTGGTTTCGCCTGCAGCTCGTATCCGTAATTTGCCCACGAGCTGGTAACCCCGGCCTCTGGAGACGGCGCCGCCGGTTAGCATTTGTATGGACGCTCGCCGCCGAATCCCGCCGCTAACAAACGATTCCATGCAACACTCGCTAAACTCATGTGCGATGTTTCATAACCTCTACAATCAAAACATCTTTCGTTTGTTAAATACACAGGACCATTGAGGTTTTCTACCATTTTTTTAATAGAATAATGTGGCAGGTAGGTACCCTTAGAAGATCGACATACTCGTACTGGGTTCTATCTCTATTTACAAGAGAGCGTAGCTGTATAGGTACAGGCAAGGAAGGTTTATTTTTATATTGTTCTGCTATTGTATGATGGTCGCTGACATAGCCCGACGGATTAGTAAACTGAAGTGGCAATGGGCAGGGCACATAGTACGCAGAACTGACGGCCGATGGGGCAGCAAGGTTCTGGAATGGAGGCCGCGTACCGGAAAACGCAGCGTGAGACGTCTACCCACAAGGTGGACCGACGACCTGATAAGGGTAGCGGGATGGCGCTGGATGCAGGCCACTACCAAGCGTGCGATGTGGAAGTCATTGGGGGAGGCCTATGTTTAGCAGTGGACGTCCTGTGGCTGAAATGATGATGATGATTGTATGTATCAGAGTGCAATAGTTATCAGACGTACATAGCTCAATCGCGTTTATTTTTATACGCATGTCCTGGCACTGTACTCCTTTCCACCGATAAACGGACATTAAACAAGAAATTGCTTCCAAAAAGGCTTATTCGATACCTTGATGCGTTTTTAACCTCCATTATGTACCCGAAGGTCGCCGGATAACGCCGGCTAAACGGGATCCGAACACTTCCCCGGGATAACCAATTGTGATCCCTATATTTGTAAATACATCGGATGTTTTATTCAGCCGACTGGTTAGGGTGATTTGATAGACCGCTAACTTTTTACGACATTAAACTTAAAAGCATTTCTAAGTACTGTATATTATATATATCTTCTCTATTGTATATATATGTATATTTTCTAAGTACTATTTCAAACAAACATTTAAAAATGATATGGCCGAATAAAATTGATCTAGTATGCTGACTGATGAGCATAGATAGATTTAACTTCTGTTGCAGAACATTTCGTATGCATTTATTATGCTTTCCTTCTGATCTAAAATATTTCAACAAAATAGCCTTTTTTTGTGTTGAGCGGCTATTCTAGTTCAATAAAGTCCTAGTATTACTCCGACCGGTACCGATCTATTGTGATGGCCGCTATTTTCCTTACAGTTCGCCTCCGAGTCCTGCATCCATTAGGAAGTGCAGAATCTTTTGGGCGGCGAAATGTTTTACATATTGTGGGCCTAGGATGTGTTTGCCCAGGTGTAAGCTCCGCTTGCGCATCAAAGGTCCGCAGTCCGTGAGAATGTGTAGTGGCGTTTCATCTGCCTCTTGGCACATCCTGCACGTTCTTGTTTCGAATAGTCCCATAGTGGACAAATGCTTGTTAAATCTGCCTAAAATAGCCTTACAAAGTCGCACCAGCATCGCGTGCGCCTTGTAACAGCAGCATAGAACGGCGCATAATGAGCAGTGACGAGGCATTGTGACGCGCGCTCCGCCGCCTTCGGCGTGCACGCCCGAGCGCAGAGCGGCGAACGTTCGCCGCATTGTGCCGCTAATTGCTACCTTAATACGCTGCACTTTCGCGTTTTAGGGTTTGATGCAATGTGTTGTTGTTAAGTTATTAATATGTAAGGTGAGGATGTCATGTTATGTAGTGTATTCTAACTTGTTATTTGTGCTTTCAATGTACAAGTACTACCCGTTCGCGCTAAGTTTGCCAGTCCGTGGAATGCACGTCCCTTCCCCCAGCCGCGATTAACCTATATATTAGTTTGCTATAGTTATAGACGCTTCCATTCGAGTGACGTCATATCTCCAGCGGCAATACTTAAAACGCGTCCACATCGTCGCAGATGACCACTGTCCCTGTGACGACCAAACGCCACAAACATGGGAACATCTTCTTACACAATGCCCTAGATTCGTCACACAATGCCACATCCATGAAACCACTTTTCGCTTGCTTAACGTAAATCCTTACAATCTAATAGATATAACCAAAAAAGAAGAAACTACCAATAGCTTTAAAATATACATAACCTATATACCTAGTAAACAGCCTGAAAGATTTTAATAAATGAACACCCACAAAATCTCTATCTAAAACACCGCATTGCAATTGGAGTAAACCGTTAGCACCAGTTGCAAGTGCATTTCAGTAGCACTAATATAGAAAAAAACTTATCGCGAACGGATAGTATAGGTTAGGTAACGATCGTTCCTAAACGAGCGGCCGTATAAATCAGAAATAAACAATGAATTAATGTTATGTAGTTCGCACAATGTTCAATGTTGTTATAATAAAGAGAAACGAGGCTGGCCTAATTATTTAAGCTCTTAATAGGATAGTCTATAGTTTCAGATATATTGATAGGGAGTTTAATAAACGTCATGAATATTACACAGTATGTAATAACTAGATGTTTATTTTATTTTTGGTAAAAATAATGAAATTAAGCTCAAAATTATAATATGTGTATGTAATTACCTATATTTCATCATCATCATCATCAACTCAGCCATAGGACGTCCACTGCTGAACATAGGCCTCCCCCAATGCTTTCCATGTTGCCCGGTTGGTAGCGGCCTGCGTCTAGCACCTTCCTGCTACCTTTATTATATCGTCGGTCCACCTTGTAGATGGACGTCTCACGCTGCGTTTTCCGGTACGCGGCCTCCTATACTAGGTATATACGTTGTGTTTGTTGCTTTAAAGCATATTAATTTCATCAACAGGGCTCTAAAATAAGAGCTTTTACACCAATGTTAAACATTTCAAAGACAATAATTGCCACTTCCACGTCAGATCAAGTTACTTCCAAACAATTTGTCTACATGAGACGGGGAGGGGTGAAGCCTAGATATTGCAATTAGGGGAGTAAACTCGAGTTAACTGCATATTATATATTGTTATGAGGCGCTTAACGTTTGACAAGCTTTTAAGTAGCGAATTTGCATTTGCATAAACATATTTTGGTTATAAATGTGGTTAACACGCTGTTTAGCGTATAAGTCTGAATATGTTAAGAGCTTAAATTAAAGAGACGACTAAAGCCTTTGTAATAGTAGAGTCTTAACACAAATTAATTTAAAAGTAGGTAGGTACCTAACGAAATCTAATTTAACATCTAAGCTAATCTGAAAATGAATACGTTATGTTGTACGTAATAAATAAGTTAATTTTGACTTTAGCAGTTAAAAGCTCTGATAAAATTGGTCTACTTGTTACTTGAGTCTTAGGCTGAGTTGCACTATCTTATTTTGACATTAAGAAACGTCAAAAATCTGTCAAACTCCATACAAAAAACACTGGTCATTGTCATAGTTACGGCATACGGTTAAAGTAAGTTGGTGCAACTCAGCCTTAAAGTCTAGTTAATCCATACTTAATCAATAATCATGTACTAAAAGAACACACATAATTTTGTATTATTATTTTTTCAAAACTGTCCCAAACTTTAGCTCTAGAACTAGGATGGCTCTCTTGAACAACCGTTAGTGTGATGCCAAAACTCGGCGGTCACTCCTTTAGGTGACATTTAGCTTTTGAAGTCTGCCCATACATTTACCGCGAAAACCGGCTAGTTTTCCTCAAGAGAGCCGTCGCAGCGAGCCTAAATTATGCCGTCAACATAGTTTTGAGTGGAGATGAGTGTTTCTATGAAAAACATTACTCTTGTTAGCACATTCGCCCCCATTTTTATTAAGGTTATAAGTAATGTACGACATCTAATTCAAATAACAAAAATCTAGCCCGTATTCACAAACATTATTATGAGGTCTCAGTCTCACAGTGCCCGTGGACGTGTGTCACCACACGTACCAATCACAGAGCTCTATTTAACGCTTTGCGTTCGATTTGCTGCTTCACTTAAGCAAGCATCGTGCATCGTTACATAACATAAACTGTTGGTGGTAGGGCTTGTTCTAAGCCCGCCTGGCTAGCTACCACCATCTTACCTAAGTCTGTCGCCATAACAACAATGTTAACAGCATTAATGTGTTCCGACAGTTAGAGGTAAGATAGCCAGTTCCTCCGTGGTTCAGGATTCCGGGTGAAGCTCGCTTCCACCTTCGGCCTGATCATCACTTACCATCAGGTGAGATAGGTACAGGCCAAGAGCTTCCTCGTTGTGGATAAAAAAAAACTGTTTTTGAACAAAAATTTCACCTTTTCTATAACTTAAAGCACACATTACACCTTATTACCTACACATACTTTTTTTTAACACCTTCGGCTCTGTCACCTGGATCTCCATTCATTCACTCAAAGGAAATTGCACTCAGATTACACATTTTAGGATGCATTTTCGAGTGCATCCCAAGGAACATATTCAGCAGTACACATCGGAGGCGTTTGTATGTTAATGAGGCACCTGCGACTCATACGAACATGGCGGCACACTCGCAAACAACGCTTACTACGAACGAGAAGAATTTTCGCAAAATTTAAGGGCTATATTTCACCGGGAGACCATGGCGGCGCAACCAGTCGCCGGCTACCAACAAAATGTATACAGCTCTATAGAGAATTTATTATCACCTGGTGTCCGTTTGGTTGCGCAAAGCTGCATACATTTTGTTGGTATCGGCGACTGGTTGCGCCGCCATGGTGTCCCGGTGAAATATAGCCCTAACTGGTCGTGATCGCGAAAATGTATAAATGTGCGATACTTTCTTAATAAACCTCCTTCCGCGTAGTCGGGTAAAAATTTACAAAAAAATGTAAGTATCTTTATAATTCTGTTGTCTAGTTCTAATTTCAATCACTGGGATCGTGAATGGTGGATAAAGGTGCAATAGTTTCCTGGTTTTTGTTGGTTTGTTTATTGCACGAGCTCACTCACTCGGACTGCATATTCCAATACATTTCGTTAAAGGGATTCTCAATTCTTTGGACAGTCGATAGTACGTCAAACTACACATTTTTATTGCGATATCGCACCTAAAAAAAATACATAAGATCTCACATTGATACAAGATAGTGTTTAACTTAATATGCCTTTGTCTGCACTACTTCATTTGTATACGGACAACGGCATATTGAAGTAAACACTATGACATCTTCAACTTCATTTCAGGCACAGGACGTCCACTGCTGGACAAAGGCCTCCCCCAGGGGTTGCCACGAAGACCGATCCTGCGCCGCTCGCATCCAGGCACCTCCCGTGACCTTCACCAGATCGTCGGTCCACCTAGTGGGAGGCCTGCCCACGCTACCGGCCGGTTGGCATCTTAATATTATGACAAGTAATGTAATATTAAATAGGTTCAATTATGCAACAAAATTAATGAAATATGCTGTCAACTTTACCTACCAACATTCCCTCGATTGCAGCGCATATTTTCACCTGAAGCCGACTGAAAAAATGATTTTATTTTAATAAATATCTGCCCTCGCAGCGTCGCGGAGTTCCAGCTTAGCGCTCCCGAATTCATTTTCCTTATGAATATTATAAATTCCTGTCGCGTGACCGCCCCGGAGTAATGGCGACGCGTTATCCCGCCAACTTTAGTATCCAGGTAAAAGCTACGACGTTTTATGAACTACACCATTAAAGGTACGTCCTTGACAATGCCAATTATTATTTTTAACTGCTTCTTCTTTATTATCTTTAAGAGAAAAGCTTTTAACTATCAAATAGGTAACTAAGTTCTGTTTTCAGCCGCAATCCTAGCGCGTGCGGGACAGTTCATACTCGTATACGTCTATAAAGGCTACTATGATCCTTTTTAAATACATTTACGTCGATAATTTGACCTTATGACCTATCTACGCATATTATATTAATTCTTAAGAACATTTAGCAGAAACGCGTATGGTACTCGTAGGTAATCAAACAAAGACTAGATTATTCAGTTTGATTACAAGACTGTCTGGAATTTTAATGAAAGTTAATTACGAGTTATACCATTCATTTTGCAAATAAAATAATTTGATTTGATTTAACTATCTACACGACCATTATTATCATAGACTTCCAGAGAAAGTTTAAGAGAAGCTGAATGGTATTTCTGAAAACTAAAAGTTAAAAGACGTTAATAACACAAAGTTGTAGACTATATTGATGACAAGGATGCGTGGTCAGTTCAGTCTGCACATATTTGATGTACTTAAATTCGACTATTCTTACCGTTAGATAATTCCTGGCAATAAGTGGTGACTGAGTTTGTTCCGGCGTTTCTTCTCAGCACTTGCCATATGTTTGTCTCGAAGCGCTGGTAGGGCCCAAAAGATAAGGAGACATGTAAAGTGCCCCATAAGGGCTACCTTTTCTTTTTTTATTACTTTCTATTGACGTTCATAAGTGCCACTTGTGGTCTTAACTGAATAAATATTTTTGATTTTGATTTTGATTTTGATTTTGTCTTAACCAAACCTAAAGCATTACGTAACCAAAACTAACTTATCCATTCCAAAACATGAAAGTGCTGACGTCAGAGAACTTAAGTCGGTCAGATGCTCACACGTAGACAGGGTATCGTAAACGCGGTTTGATTCCAACTGGATAAGGGAGGCGTTGCCGACGCCTGTGAAACCAACA